TGGGCGAGGGAACACGACATACAGAAGGTCTCCCGGCATAATTCCTGCTCAGAGGCTCAGCGGAGCTCCTTAGAGCACCACAAACATGTCTTTCACTGGCATTATTCTGGCCCCCAGCACAGAGTCAGAACCAAATTGTTAGACGTATGAGCCCTGGGAGGGCTGGGGTGTTTGCGTGCTGAGATGAGGGAGAAGACCGGCATGGCAGCAACGAGTCTCAGAAACGCACCTTCTAGTGCACCCGGGCCCATTGGTTTGCTTCCCTAATGTCTGGGACCCAGGGAAATGGGAGTTTTAAGGAATATGAGAGTAATGTGGTGAGAGAGAGAGAGAGAGAGAGAGAGAGAGAGAGAAACTAGAAAAGGTGCTCCTCAAAAAACCCACTGCTTGCTTCAAGAACAGCCTTCTTCTTCTCACTAGGGAAAAGAATCTATAGAAGGTAATGAATGCTAACTCAACTTACTGATATATACAATATATACACAATACATGTAAGTCAAGTCGTTAGGCTATCTCTTAAATGGATACAGGGCTATATATCAAGTATTCCTCAAGAAAAGGGAAAAACAATTAAATGGCATAATGTATGCAAAATTCCTGGCATGTGATGAACACACAACAAATGCCATTGGTGCTGGTCCCACCCTCCCCCAAATCCCCACCATTGATGGGCCAGTGGTGGGAGCAGACACCCACGGTGGTCGGTGGTCGGGCTCTCCGAGGCAGGGGAGAGCCCAGGGTTGTTTTGTTTTGAACAGGAGGGTGCAGGGTGCGAGGATGCTTACCGCCTGCTCAGGGTCCTTGCTTATTGGAACTGCCCACGAGGGATTTTAGGGTGCACTTCACAGTGGAAATACACGGAACTTTCTGCATAACCATAATAACTCAGGACAAAGGGAGAATTTCTCTCCCACCCCTGTTATAAATGACCCGCCGGGGTTCTTTTCCGAAAGCAAACAACGGTGACATTTCTACCAATTTATGTTGCTAATCTGGTCCTTTTCAGCTGACAGTGCAAATTGAGATCAATTACTACCCCACCTCTCACCCCCACCCTCGTCCCCCTGACACCTGATGTTTGAATGTCTTGTAATGGCCAGGAATCGTCATCTCTTTGTGAATCACAGAGCAAGTGCCATCGAATCCGAGGGGTACTTTCATGAGCAAACAGAACTTGTGAAGCCTCTGGTGGACAGAAACCCTGGTCACTGGCTAACAGACATAAGGGCCCTGAGCTGGTTTCCTGACAGATAAAAATAACATGCAATATATTATTTACACAGAGAGAAAGTGTTACAGGAGCATTCTTTAAAACAGCACAAGTTGCCCTGGCTGGCGTGGCTCAGTTGTTTGGGCATCCTCCCGTGCACCAAAAGGTCACTGGTTCAATTCCCGGTCAGGACACCTGCCCTGGCTGCACGCTCGATCCCTGACAGGGGGTGTCGGGGGGTGATAGGGAAGGTGGTGGTAGTGCAGAAATACCGCTCTCACATCTGTATTTCCCTTTCTCTCTCCCGCCTTCTCTCTCTAAAAATCAATAAACTATTCTTTAAAACAACAACAACAGCAACACACCAGCACAAGTTATTAAGACTGCAACAACAAACTTCGTAATAAAAGTGTTGACGTCCAATTGAGGCATGGTTTTCATTGAGAAAACCAATGGAAAGCAGGCACTATCTGACTTGATCTCACAGGACACCTTCACTAGAACCACTCAGCTAGGCCACTCCTGAGTTCCAGATGGACAGAAACAGGCTCCGCTCATACATGACTGTTGTGTGAAGCCACTCACTTTGGGGGTGATTTGTTATGCAGCCACCGGAACTGGAAGAACCAGAATGGAATCCAAACTAGAGGGGAAATGCCACCCCCAGGGTCAAACGGGGACATCGTGAGCATCCACAAGAACCGCAGGAAAGAAGGCTCGGAAGTATTCCAGGATTAGGAAGGCAGGCACCATTCACCAGTAAATGCCACACCAAAAAGCCCATTAGAATATCACCCTCTTCTTTCCAAACTGGGGGACCTTTATGAACCTGCATAACCGTGTGTAATAGTAAGAAAGCCCCTATTGGAACCGCCTGAAACCGGCAGCAAAGCCAAAGGGAAAGGAACAAGCTGGGACATCATTTATTCACTTCCCCGCAGGCACAGGCACGGCTGCTCTCTCGCTTTCTGCCTCCTGCCTCTCTCAATCACTGTGCAACTGTGCAAGGTTCCCCCGGACACCGGACACCTCTCAATAGCTCTGACAGTGGGACTTCTGCTTTTAAAGAAACATGGACAAGAGCTGGGAGTCCAGTCCCCAAAGGTGACACCTCTCATTAGACCAGAGACGGGGAGGTTGGATGGCCCATGTATCCTGGGGAAGCTGAATGAGGGGGATGCTCTGGAGATGGCCAGTGGTGGCCAGCAGAGAGAATCCAGCCACAAATCCACATCTCTTCTTCCTAGTCCACCCAGGGTTTTCTAAGCAGCCAATTTCACATACAAAGTCTAGAGTTCTACCTCCTCTTGAGACGCTGAAGTCTGGCAACCCCAGGTATGCATTCCCACCGGGTCTCCGTGAGCTGGGGCTGACTCGCTGTTTCCCCCTTTAGACCAGCGGTTCTCAACCTGTGGGTCGTGACCCCTTTGGCGGTCGAACGACCCTTTCACAGGGGTCGCCTAAGACCATCCTGCATATCAGATATTTACATTACGATTCACCACAGTAGCAACATTACAGTTATGAAGTAGCAATGACAACAATTTTATGGTTGGGTCACCACTTGAGGAACTGTATTTAAAGGGCCAGAAGGTTGAGAACCACTGCTTTAGACAGAGCATGTCTCTCTAGCTGCCACAATCCCCATCACTCCCTATTGCACACCTGGGCTTTCTTCACTCCTTTACTTTACATTTCTGGTTCCTGTGAGCATGTGAGTTTGTGTCTCTGTTGACCTATACCAGAGAGGCATTTCAGACTCCAAACCCCAAAGTGCTCTCTGATCATGACAGGTTTGAAATTTCTGGTGGTTTGGGAATTCCAGTACATTCTGATTTTTTTGTACCCTTGCGC